TTCCAAAGGCGCGAGCGCCTGAAGAAGTGATGGCTCCAGCTCCTGACGCAACTCCCGAAACCAAACTTGGACGCCGGCCAGCAACGGCAGCAAAGTCTGCTCCAGCGACAGACCCACGGATGGTTGAAGCGATGTGCAAGAACACATCTGCCGTGCTCATAGATGGTCAAATTGCTCATTGTGATGGCGGTTCCTGCGACCTAGCAGTCCTCACCGGGGCAGCACCTCAGGCGCGAGCCCCGGCAATCCCGGCACCACCTCTGCCGGTGCCCCCTGCGCTACCCCCTTCATCACAGCCGCTCTTCGGCCCAACCATCAACCTTGATGATTCGCAGGAAGATGTGGTGACGGAGCAGGAGACAGTTGAGTTTGCCTTGCCTGTGCCTCCATTCCCGGCACCAATCCCAAAGTCTGTATGTCCTCCTCCAATTGGCAGAAGCGATTCTACGATGGCCAGATCAGCTTCCTTCACAGATACTGGCGTGGATGGCCGCCTATTCGAGGCGCGGTTTTAGTGAACGCTCAAGTTGACGAGGATATATTATTTACCATAGTTTACCATGTAACTATAGCAACTTTTTGTTCACAACTAGCTTTCCTGAGGCTTTGGTACCAAGTGCTTCCGCAGCCTCCCTTCACAGAGTTGGGATGAGTTTGGGTCATTTGGACGCGTCAAGTGGCGCTCATGTGTCACAGCTTCACCGCGCCATTACGCTTGATCGTGGGCTAGATGTCCTGGCAGCTCAGAACTTGTCCATGAAACCGGAATCAGCCCTTCGTACTAAGGCCGGATCTCAATTGATTTCACTTTCAATTTGTTCAACTCGAACTGATTGTTTTGCTCTTCCATTCATTTGGTTTTAAATATTATTACTTTTTATTGCAGGATGATGGACCTTTGCCGGTCTTGCCCGAAAGCCAGCAGAACCTCTACAAGCAGTACTGGCGGCAGTTTTCCAAGCCTCGAGTGGAAGAGCAACCCATTCCAGCAGAACTAGCCCCTGCAGTGGCAGCTCCAGGAGAACCCGCTCCAGCCAGCGTTCCAGCAAAGCCAGCTGTTGCAGAACCAGCTCCGGCCAGTGAACCCCCTGCTGCCCCAGAAATTCCAGCAGAACCAGCTCCGGCCAGTGAACCCGCTGCTCCCCCCAGCAATTCCAGCCGAACCAGCCAGTGAACCCGCTGCTGCCCCAGCAATTCTAGCAGAACCAGCTCA